ACTGGAGGAAGTGTTATTATGGATTATGGACTTTATGTATTTTAGTTAAAAACGTCTTAATGCTGGATTAGTTTCAGCTTTTGTCTTCTCCAGATGTTAACTGATGGACTGGAGTGCTGTGGATTACTTGTGGATTATTGTGATGTTTTTATCAGCTGTTTGGACTCTCATTCTGACGGCACCCATTCACTTGCAGTGAGACACTGATGCAATGCTGCATTTCTACAAACCTGATGAAGAAACAAACTCATCCTGATCTGGTATGATCCTGTGGGTGAGCACATTCTTAAATCATTTTGCTTCTTGAGTAATCTTGATGTTTAGATATTTGCAAGACATAAACACTAAGGAAAAGCTAGTGTTGAGTTTCTCCTGTATAAGGTGTTGTTGTGTTGGTCAGTCGTCGGCTGTGGGACAGACGCTGCCGGAGATGAGCTTCTCGTACACACACATGAACTGTATTCTGTACGCTCTGGGAGTGGGGATGTCCAGCAGAGAGCCTGACCAACTCAAGTTCCTCTACGAAGGCCACGAGGACTTCAGCTGTCTGCCCACGTTTGGAGTGATTCCGGCCCAGAGCGCCATGACGGGCCTCGGCAGCATCCCAGGCCTCAACATCGACTTCACCAGGGTAAGAGTCCGTCCATCTGTGGGTTTACTGTGTTTACATGTCGATCCGAGTGTGTGTGTGAGAGCAGTGTGTGTGTGTTGCAGCTGCTGCACGGAGAGCAGTATCTGGAGATGTTCAGAGCGCTGCCCACCTCAGGTGACCGCCGCAAACACACCGTATCTGCTCATTCTGTTCATGTTCACGTGGATACTGAAGATGTTCTCTGTCCTCAGGGACGCTGACGTCTCGGGCCACGGTGGCAGATGTGCTGGATAAAGGGTCAGGAATGGTCATCCTGCTGGACGGTGAGTTACAGATGACCATCACACTAGTTTAAGTACATAGAGAGTGACATGATCGACATCAGAAGATTGGAGTTGGGAAGAAGTGTTTTTGAAAGAAGTCTTTTTCTTCTCATCAAGGCTGCATTTATTTGATCAAAAATACAGTAAAAATAGTGAAATATTATTAGAATTTAAAACAGCCGTTTTCTATGTGAATATCTGTTAAACTGTAATTTATTTCTGTGATGCGCAGCTGTATTTTCAGCATCATTACTCCAGTCTTCAGTGTCACATGATCTTCAGAAATCATTCTAATATGCTGATTTGCTGCTCGAGAAACATTTATGAGCCATTTATTATCAACGTTGCACTGCAAAAAAATGATTCTCTTGCTTAGTGTTTGTGTCTTGTGTTCTAGTATACATATCTAAACATTCTTGAATCAAGATGCATTGACAAGTAAAATGATTTAAGATATTAAGTTGTTTTCTAAAAATGGTTTTCTTGTTTTTTTTTTGAAAACAAGAATATCTGAAGTCATTTTACTTGTACAGTAAATGCATCTTGATTCAAGAATGTAAGATATTTATACTAGAACACAAGACACAAACACTAAGCAAGTGAATCATTTTTTGCAGTGTTGTGCTGCACAATATTCTTGTGGAAACTGTGATGCATTTCATTTTTCAGGATTCACAGATGAATAGAAAGTTCAAAAGGACAGCATTTGTTTAAAATAGAAAACAACATTATAAATGTCTTTACTGTCACTTTTGATCAAAATAATGCATCCTTGATGTTTGTTTGTTTGTTGCTGTTTTTCGGGCCTGTGTCTTTAAATGCAAATGAGCTGCTGCTCCCCGCCCCCTTTTCCAGAATAGCGCTCAAATCATGCGTTTTAAACCATATGAGTTTAAACTTCTGATATACGGTTTTCTGAGCGCACACATCCGAAGCACACGCACAGAAAGCGGCTGTCACAGCATGTGAGTACTCATTCACACACAAGTTTACGTTAAAAACACACGAGTTACAAAAACAGTGGGTTATGTCTGTGAATGTAAACAGCTGGGAAATAAATCGCGTTTATTTTAGATCTGTGTGGCAGCAGCAACATACAGTAAATAACTCAATAAATGCACTGCTCTGTTGTCTCCTCTGAGGCTGGGACTCTAAACAGTGTTCTGTGCTCGTCTGTGCAGCTAAACACAGAACAGTTAGCATGCTTTGCTCAAACGTTCTCCATGGCATTAGAGCTGCTACACCGTTGTCGCTGTGTGATGGCGCAGTGGGTGTAAACTTACAGATTAAGGGGCGAGATATTTATACTAGAACACAAGACACAAACACTAAGCAAGTGAATCATTTTTTGCAGTGTTGTGCTGCACAATATTCTTGTGGAAACTGTGATGCATTTAATTTTTCAGGATTCACAGATGAATAGAAAGTTCAAAAGGACAGCATTTGTTTAAAATAGAAAAATTTTCTAACATAAATCTTCACTGACACTACTTTTGATTGATTTAATGCGTCTCCTCGATGAATAAACGTATTCATTTCTTTCACAGTATTACTTTTGAACTGTAGTGTATATTTGTGTTTGTATTTCAGTTTATACGTACAGCGGGCGTGAGCTGGTGTGTTATAATCAGTTCTCGGTGTTCGTTGTTGGCGCTGGAGGATTCGGAGGGAAGCGGACGTCCCAGAAGGCTGTGGTGAATGAAAACCCATTTAACACCTTCAGCTGGACTGTGTCACAAACAGTCATTAATGATGGGTTACTGTTTCAGGTCACAGCTCCTCTTCCAGACAGAGCTCCAGACACTGTGATTGTAGATCAGACATCTAGAGATCAGGTGAGATTCACACGATCCCGACAGATTCACTGCGTTCACACGGTTCCTCAAACTGCACTATTGTTCAAACGTTCGGGTTTTCTTAAAGAAACGAATACTTTTATTGATCAAGGATGCATTAAATTGATCTAAAGAGACAAAGACATATGTGACCCTGGAGCACAAAAGCAGTCATAAGTAGCACAGGCATAAACAAACTTGTGTGAAAATAGCAGAGGGCCTAGGACAGATCCTTGTGGCACTCCATACTTTACTGGTGATAACTGAGATGACTCCCCGTTTAAATAAACAAAGTGGTAGCGATCGGACAGGTAGGATCTAAACCATCTTAAAGCCTGCCCTTGAATACCTGTATAGTTTTGTAATCGATCTATGAGTATGTCATGATCTATAGTGTCGAACGCAGCACTAAGATCAAGTAAAACTAGCAATGAGATACAGCCTTGGTCTGACGCAAGAAGCAAGTCATTTGTAATTTTAACAAGTGCAGTTTCTGTGCTATGGTGGGGCAATCATGAATAAAAGTCCATTAACGGATCATCTTATTTCCCGTAATATTTGTATATTATTATTATTAGCTTATTATGGGTATATTTTTCCCTCTTCATTTTGATCTCTTTATTTAACGTTCTGAATACTTTTGTAAATAATAGCCTACTGTAAATGCTCGATTATGCTTTGATTATGCTGACTGGATTTTTTACCGGAATGCAGTTTAAAGGTAGAATTTAACATTTCATTTTATTTCAGCTAATTAATAGACTAGAATTATAGCTTCGTTGAGGAATGAATTATTCATGTAGTTTCATTTATAAATGAACTCATAAATACAATCATAAAGTCAAAACTTTATTGGCATAATTGTCAGGCATTTACAATATGGTAATATTATAATGAGATCCCTTTGCCACGTCACCGAGGGAGCGAAATCAGACACTCTCGTTTTCGCAGACGCTTGCAGAAAAAGGCTTCCCAAAATAAAGTTACTGGGTTAATCTTTTTCACGTTTCCTTGGTTGGTAGATGCACCGGAGACCTGATTATAGCACTTACAACCTGGAAAACTCAGAGTTTCATGATATGTCACCTTTAAAATATTCCAGATTAATATGCAGAGTCAACAAATGGACTGAGTTTGGGGCGGGGCTATCAGTTTGACCGGCCAATAACAGAACCCGTTTGAAAACATCAGTCTGGAGACACAGAATAACACACTTCAGCTTTTAAACAGTTTCTGATCGTTGAAGCTTTATCTTGAAATGATCCACAGGATTCGAGTCTCCCATCCTGCACGGCCTGTGTTCGTTTGGCTTCGCCGCTCGTCACGCTCTGAAGCAGTACGCAGCAAACGACGTGTCCAGATTCAAGTCCATCAAGGTAAAACAGCATCGACACCGAGACGTGACGGGATTTGACTTTACTGACTAGAGCTGTCAATTAAACATGTTTATTTGGGTGCAGTTAAGACTGACTGCATGATGAAGTCCAGTAGAATGCCGTTATATGAGCCTAAAATTCAAGATAGGAGCACAAAAAAATAAATGAGCTATTTATATGATATAGTTTAGTTTAGCAATATCACACCAGCAAGAGTGCTGTTTTACACCAATATCTGCACCACTGCAAATGTGATATTGATTTATACAACAAGTTCAATAAACAAGACGTTCATATTGTGTTTAAGACTCAATATTATCTACTTTTGCTCAATTTCGCAAATGAAAATAGTTCCAATCAAAGCCACAGCAGAACTGTGATGAACACACAGCGGTGATTCATTACTGAATTAATCTACGGCTCTGAACGAATCAAGTGAGTCAGTGATTCAGTGACTCGTTCATAAAGGAATGAAAGGCATCATTTCTGAATGAATCAGTCGCTTGAACAAACTGGTTGAATGAATGATTTAACGATTCACTCTTTAAGACACCTATACTGGCGCTGTTTCATATTTAGAGTATAATTTCAATAAAAAATAAAAAAATTCATATTTCAATATTAATTTTTATTATTATTCAAAAGTTTAATAAAAATATTTCTTTGTAAAGATACTTTTTGTAATGTCTATTCAATGCTTTTCTCATTAAGTGATCTTTTGGGAGGTGAATTCTCAGTCCAAACTGATGTGTGATTAATTGATTAATTATTAAAGTTCCGTCTCTACGACGGATTTCCGTCAGTTCATAAAGACAGTCACTTGCTTCATTCCTCAATGATTCAGCTGTTCGAACGAATCAATTGAATGAATGATTCAGTGATAAAATCAGTGACTTGCCGCCACCTGCTGGCAGATTTAGATTAATTTTTAGCGTATAATTTCAGTTATTTGAATCATATTACATGAATTTATTTGCACTCATGCTACCTCTGAGCCTCATTAAACGTCTGAAAATGTACCTAGAAGCCACTTGAGGTGGCATGAGTGCAATTAAATTCAGAAATTCATGTGGAGATTAATGTTTTAAATATTAAATTTTGAATACAGAAATATGATTCAAATAACTGAAATAAGCTAAAAATGAATCTAAATCCACCAGCAGGTGGCGGCAAGTCACTGATTTTATCACTGAATCATTCATTCAATTGATTCGTTCGAACAGCTGAATCATTGAGGAATGAAGCAAGTGACTGTCTTTATGAACTGACGGAAATCCGTCGTAGCGACGTAACACTTTAATCCCTGTAATTAACCTGCACATCATGTAATTAATTAATTACCAGCCCTGTTAATAACCCTAGTCTGTGTCTCAGGTGCGTTTTGTGAAGCCCGTGTATCCGGGACAGTCTCTGCAGACGGAGATGTGGAAGGAAGCGAACAGGATTCACCTGCAGTGTAAGGTGAGGAAGCGTTCGCTCTCCCAGAATGCCCTGGGCCAGAGTTAGGGTTGGGTACCGAAACCCGGTACCAATATGAAATATTGAAATATTTGTCCTCTGGTTCTCTGAAACGGACGTAAGAAGGATCATCACCGGCACCGCATGAGAAAAATAATTTCCCGACTGAGAAAATGCACGTGAACTCAAGTCGGAAAGCTCTAATAATACAGATCCAACAAATCTTTGTAGTAACGAGAGTGTCCATGTTGTTTTCACATTCCGACTTAAAAGCACAGCTCGGGAAATGAGAGCATCGAGGAGCGCATGAATGCAGTAATTACACTTGCTCTGATGGCAGCAGGTAGCCTTCCGTTAACTAAGCTAAACATGCTTAAATTAAAATGCCTAAAGCTAAACTTCCCTTGTATTCACATTTCTAAACCTGTTGTCCAACAAAAGAGAACATTATAACCTTTTTACTCCACACCAGTCAAATGCTTCCTTTTGTGACCTGATG